AAAAAAAAAAAAAAAAAAAGATTGGACTGCATTCCTGTAGCGGGGTGGTTTAGGATGGACTATAGTGAACTTGGTGCAGAATGGCTGAATTCTGTTGAATTTAGAGCCAAACGTGTCAATGGCGTGATGTCTGACTTTGCTGCACTGCCGTGGTCACGCCTTTCAACTAAAAGTCTTTGTGCTTGAAAACAAGTGAGATCAAGTTCTTATCTGTGTTCTGACTCAATTTGTTGCTGATTTCTTAGGTCAAGAGGGTCAGAAATGGAGCTGTCCAAGCCAAAAAAAAAAGGTCACTTCCTGTTGTCAGGGGGCGGGGTTTGATGATGTCTTTTGACCACATGGTATGGTTGGGCATGCAACAGGGATGACTCATACCAAGTTGTATTTTGCTTGTATATGCTTTCTGAAATTGTAAAGGATGGACGAGACGGAAGACAAAAAATGTCACCAGGAGCAGCTGGATCAAAACCATCTGATGGAGGTGTCTCAGCTTCAGTAACTTTTAGGTTTAGTTAATTTTAGAGCCTCCCCATGGGGATATTTTGTGATAAAAGTGACATATGATGCAGTCAAGACAAACCACTGGTGCTCAATTAAGGATAATATGTGTTTCAGTTATGATCTCAAATAAAGTTCTGTCTGGTTTTCAGTGTTCTACCTTCATAAAATAAAATGTGATTTAAAATGTTCTTCAAATTGCTGGAAAACGCATAGTTTTGAGTGGATATTATCCAGAGAAATATCATTATTGTTAACTATTTTTAATTGGACAACCTGGTTCCTAAAGATAAAAAAACAATATCAAAGACAAAACTATTTAATTTGGTATGAGAATGTATGTAAATTAGCAACAAGATTTAGTCAATTGCACAGGGTGCAACAAACTGACTAGAGCTGGCCCTGGTCTGATATGTGTGCTTACTTCATCAGAATCCGATAAGAGCAGACATTCTTCCAGCGTCTGTGATCTGTGAGGGAAGACTCAGTCCCAGATGGAAGTAATGAACACAAGCTGTTCTATGATGTTCTCCTGGGAGAACCACTGACCCAAGATCCACATCCTGCAGAAGTGGCTTACTGTTGTTCCATCATGTCCCACTGCAGGAACACCGGGGTCTCTGTGGAGCTGCAGTACAACCTCAATGCCTAATCGTTTTTATAAAATGTTCCAAAAGAWAACAAACAAACAAACAAACAACTTGGTGCCCAAACCAGATCAAACAGAGCCTGTGACTGTGCTGCATATAAGTGTCGATTATAAGAGTGGGAAATGCAAAACTCACTCCCTACACATTTAAATATGTGCTTGCTGGTGGAAAATGCTCACATTTTTGCATGTGTACTGTTCTTATAACTTAAATATCCAATCAAACAGCATGTATCAATTATTCTTCAAGTGATAATTTAGCGTCTTTTCTTAGATCTTGTGTTTTCAGTGAATGCATGCAAAAAAAAACTCACTTCCTGTTCCCTTTCTCCTGATAAAATCCTTTTTTAAATACTTATATTTAGTACTTTTATGGCTGTGGGTGGAGGCTGTCTGTTCCCCCCTCCTCCCTGCATGGAGATAAAAAAAAAAAAAAAGGAGAATTAATTAATTGGGGCGTGTTCATGGTTGGCCAGCCCGTGTCTTCCTCTGCCCGGCTCAGAGAGCTCATTGGTCGGCGGCCGTGTTGAATGAAGCGCCGCTGAAACGTGCGGACAGCAGCGCGAGGCGAGCCGCAGGGAGCGACCGAGAGACAGCGACTCGACCGCCGGTGGAGCTGCTGGGGGTGGTCGGACACCGGTTATCTGTCGACCAGAGGCGGCTTGGCTCTCTGCCGGAGCTCGGTGTCGGAGATTGAATGAGGTTGATGCTGCTTTGCTGCACCTGGAAGGACGAACGTATGGGAGAGGAGGAAGGTGAGGAGCTGCTGCGGGGCTGTTTGTTTGCAGCCGCCGGGGCGGGCGGTGCTTCATCTGAACGCAGGCAGGCAGGATGATGCACAACAACAGTGTCAACGAATAAAAGCGTTTGCTTTGCTCGGTTTTCTGGTTTTGTTTGACGTTTAAGTTGCAGATATGAGCGTTGAAGCGTTTTATCAGCAGGAAGCTTCAGGCTGTGAGGGCAGAGTCATGTGCTGCCATGTTTTTCCTCGAGTTGATGCGTTCACTGTTTGCATGCAGAGATGACTCTTCATCTGCAGCCAGAAATTGAGCATTTTATTTCTATCCTTACAATTGTAAAATAAACCTAAAAACATATWCTTGTAAGTAACAATCCTGTGCAAAAGTCCCAGACTAAGTTTTTCCAACATTAGATTATTTTTCACTGTTTTCTGTCCATTACCAGACCATTTTCAGAGCAATGTTTAGTTGTTTGTTAAGCCACTTACCTCTAATGAATTATTCAGACATAAAATAGACTCCTGAACTCAAATGAACCATTGTTGTGTCGACGCATACAAGAGAACTTAGCAAATAAATCAATTTAAGTTAAAATTCTTATGTACTTTATTAGCTGTTAAAACATGAAATTATTCCCTTTTCTAAAATGTCAAACAACTGCAGTCTTATCTATCTATCTATCTATCTATCTATCTATCTATCTATCTATCTATCTATCTATCTATCTATCTATCTATCTATCTATCTATCATTACATTTCAGGTCTAAATCTGCGACTCTCACATTGTATATTAGGTTAAAATCGTATTTTACATGTCCGTCTTGTCACATATCCCTCTCCAGGACTGTGTGAATATCCTACAGCAGGTTGAGCAGAACAATAGAGGTTTTATTGAATGTTTAACTTTGAGTTACATTGGCTTTACGTCATTAGAAAGAAGTGTCTCAGTGTTGAATGAGTAACCAGGGGTGTGGGGTCTGTGCTCCGTCACCTGTACAGGTTACACACAGTGTTGAGGAATGCAGGTGTGTCTCTGTTTGCCTTTATCGTCATTTCTGATGCCAGTTAGAAGGGGAGAATTCAACACAGGGGAAAAAAACCATCTCTCTGGCATTATTATTCAGATATTCTGCTGCAGCACATTTTCAGCTACAGACGTGTAACTTTGAACTGGAGCTTTGTTTTGTTTTTAGCCTGCTTGTATGAAAAACAGCACACAAGTTCAGCTGCCTGTGTGAGAGCAAAATGACTCATTGCTTTTATAGTTTTCTGTTAGTTTCTCTATCTGTTTTCACAGCATAAATCATGTGTAAAGATGCAATTATTATCTTTTAAAGTGGACTCGTTGGGAAAAAATGTAACAGTTAGTATCTTACCTGTTGTAGATAGCTTTTTGAACAATCTCAGTTTGGAGAAATAACTTATTTCTGACTTGTCTGACCAGGGCTGAGACTAAAGTTAATTTCTGCTTAGAACAACTTTAATCTCAAATATTTTATTTTGTTTAGTTTGAATTCTTATTTAAAACATTTTCCCACCTGCATCAGTTACACATTACACAGTCATTTTGGTAGAAGTATTTAGGAGTGGGGCTCTTTAGGTATCTGACAATTCAATTTGATGAACTGACAATTAGCATAATGCTAACTGCTTATTGAAAATGCTGCAGAAAAGCTAATGCAATTAGCATAATCTAGTCAAGCATTTTATAGTATGTATGACAAATAAAGCCATTATTTATATACGTATTCTTCTAGGTTCAGCCAAGAAAAAAAATGAAAAATTTGTGAAAGCACAGCTTAGTGTCACAACTAGTTTCTGCTTCTGTGTGTGTTTGCAAATATCAGCTGGATTCTATGTAAATAAAATGAAAAAAAAAAAGATGGAATTGTAAAAAAAAATGTAAAAAATTGTTCATGTTAACAACAGGTAAGATGTTAATTGTTCCTAATCTTTCCACAGAAACCAACTTCTAAATATCCGAACTGCTGTTTTACACATTGAGAAACTAAAGTCGGATGTAAAACTGTTATAAGAGATGAACAGGATGAAGAACTGCCTTTGCTGTAATGTATCTGGGTGTTTTTATCTGTTGCTCCTTTTGCAGGGTATGATTTTTTTCAGGCAAATGAGCTCAAGAAACCGAAACATCTTCTGTCTCCTGACGTCTCCTGAAGCTTTGCTGTTGCTGCCAAATTGTCTTCCGCAGAGAATGAGCAGTCACTGCTGCTTTTTCTTTGATGCACAGCAGAATTTCTCATCTCAACTCAGCCAAACTGCCTTTTTTTTTTACTGAAATTGAACATTTCCCTCATTAGAGAGGAGGACTCTGCTGTGATCTGCAGCCACTATAACAGCCTTATAGAAACAGCTTTCATCACTGAAGTTTAGTTATTTAATGCTTGTGTTAGAATAGCTATGAATTATAAATTTACATGCTGATTTTTTTTCTTTTTGAGCCTGTTTCTTCCTAAAATACACACATTTAAAGTTTCRTACAATGAACTACTAACAATGCAAACGATAAAATAGTGTTTAGAATATATTCAGTATTGCTTTTAGAATAGTTTTATACAGTTAATTGCATTTATACATTAGTCCTCATCAAATAAAAAATTATGTTAAAACCTCATTGGTTAAAAATGTTTATTGAACAAATGGTAGCAAAGGAACTATGTTTTGGTTGTTGTTGGAGAAGCTGTTTGTCGTCTTTCAGCTTGATTATAAACCTCCAGCAGGGCTTTACATAAAAAGCAAAGATAACAGCCTTCATGCAAACACAGACACAAACACCTCGTTTCAGCGACAGAAGCTTAGGAAAAGTTTCACGTGGGCGTGTGTGCTCATCCTGGGTGTCACGTGTCGTTACAGCTGGAGAAAGTTTGCCCGAGTGCGCGGGATGCAAAGAGAGGATCTATGACGAGCAGTACCTCCAGGCTCTGAATGCTGACTGGCACACCGTCTGCTTCAGGTACCGCTCCACACAAACTGACCCCAAACCAGCCACAACACAAACCCAGATTTAACCACAATACATCAAACATGCATCTAGACTGATGACCAAAATAAAACAGAAAAAAACAACACAAACATGTTATCATATGTTAGGTTAGCATAAAGCTCAATTTGCATGACCTCAGCAGTAAAAACTGCACCCATTATAATCAATGAGAGCTCTGGATCTGCCAAAATTAGATTTGATCCTATTTTTGCCTGATGGTGGAGCAAGATCATATTGCACCAATAAAAACAAGCACAGTATCCATTTTTTCAAAATAATTCACCAAAGGCAGATTATAGTTTGTCAAAACTCTAGATGTATTAATAATTAAATGGGCATTTTGATGCTGTCAAAATTTATAATTCTATTTGGGAAGCAGATGAAAACATGCAGCAAATGCATACACACCATGCATGAATTTTATTTTGAAATATGGATTTTAAAAAAAGACATCAGTGATGCAGTTACAACTGTTTCAGCCCGTCTTCCACAGAATGAATTAATTTGGTCTCATTTCTACATTTATTACTGGCTTTATTACACAATCTCACATTTCCTGAGCATCTCTGAGCATCTCTGAGCATCTCTGAGCATCGCACCAGAGCAGAGCAGAGCAGACAAAATATGAATCAGGGTGGAAATGAGTGACGGCAAAATGCAGTAATGCAGTGCAAATTTGAGGTAACATTTAGTGGGTTAAATTCAAGTTCATCATGTTTTGTTTTTAATATTATTAGCTGTTGTAGGAAAATAGTATTTGGTCTGAAACCAGATCACGAATGTTGTGACACAACCACAAAAGTTACTCTTACGGCGTCTTCACTTCTTATTTATGACATTAAATGTCAAATCATGAAGACCAGTTAAAAAAAGATTAAAAAAGGAAATCTGCACAGTTTTCTTCTTTTATCTGTGCTTAATRTATTCTTTAAATATGGATTCTCAGTCATCCAATCCAAAAAAGGTTAAAAAAACAAAAATGRAAGACAAGTCCTTACCTCAGAGCTCATATTTCCACTATCTTCAGTGTTTAAAATTCCTGTTCTTGCAGCAGCTTTGCACTGCTCTGCTGAGTTGAAAACCCCTAAAATCAGATCTACTTGATTATATTTTCTTTTTTTTTTCTGTTATGTGCTTTTAAACATTGAACACAAATAGGTCAAAACACAGAAAAATTGTACAATTTCTTGAATGAATGAGATTGTTTTTCACTCAATTATCCTACATTATTTTTCATTTGAACCAAAGTGTATTTCCATCAAAATCTGTAACTCGAGTCACTTTTTGGTTTTATGTCAGTTAAAAAATAATTTGTAGCAGAAAGGTTTTGCTGAATGACCGAAACACCGCAAATCTGAGATTAACTGTGCCATGGAATGAACAGKGGGGGAGAAAATGACAATATGGGCTGACAATTAGTCATCAGGTGAGATTTAACGATTGCTGCATCATTCGTCAGAGCCCATTAAAAACTTGTGTTCAGACGTGGACTTGTTGTTTCTGAGACTTTGATTGCATCTTGTAGAAACGTTGCGTTATCAGCTCCTGTGAGTCACGGCAATGATTTGCAGATATTTCAACACCAGCATCCGTTAAACGAAAACGACGTAAATAAACAGAAATGTCGGCAGCTGTTTGAACAAGTCCTGACAGCTTCACTGTCGACTGCAGTCAGAGGTAATCTCTGCTGTCAAACCTGAGGCTGCAGCAGGATTAATATTGTGCTTGTGTGACTGCTTTGTGAGCTCATTTTAATATTTAAAATTATTAATCTTAAACGTCAGCTGCCCATTAGATGGTAGAGAAGTTTCACCTTAAAGCACCTTTGCTGACCGTTCTCCGTATTTAATCGTTTACAAGCTGCTTTTCATTGAGGCTTTAAACATTCAGATGGGTCATACATCGATCTGCAGGGTGCCATGTGGGAAAACTCACCGCTCCGTTAATGGTTTCCACCAACCGGATGTCTGAACGAGAGATCTGAGACAGGGATCAGAGTCTGACAAGGCTTTTGTGTGATATGTGTGTCTGTGTGTGTGTGTGTACAGATAAATGAGAAGGAGGATGTTGGGTTTTTGTTGGTCACTTTGCATTCGCGTGAAATCTTCCCACATATTTCTTCCTTTGCATATTCTGGAAAGTGAAACCACTTCTTTTGCATTTCTGCGGGCATCGCAGTGTAGCTGTTCTCGGCTTTGAGTCGCCTCCATCACTCTCTCGTTCGAGGTGTCAGATATCAGCCTGCAGCCTCTCTCCGCGCTACAATCTGTGATACTCCACAGGCCGAGCGACGGGTTAAAGGATGTGGAAAAGAGAGGTGTGATTTCCTGGAAACGTTTCCCTCTGCAGTTTAGAAGTTAGAGGACAGGCGAGGACGCCGGTTTTGCATGGAAGACTTCATGAGAAACATGACAAACTGTCCTGTTTGTTAAGCTTTCTCTTTGTTTCTCTAGAAATGTACTTAAAATGAATCTTTGAAGTTCGTTTTGCTTAGAAGCATCCACTGCTCTTCTGTTGTTCAGTGAAAAGTATTGATTGTAACGTTCCTGCGTTGTGGTGGTTCAGGCTCAGAGTTGTGTGGGACATCTTGGTGGAGCTGGATGCTACGAAACAGGAACAGAATTCTGTGATTGGAACAAATAAATGGTAGTCTCAGAAAAACTGGTAAATTAAACAGAATAAAGTACTTTATTAGTTGTTTGAAAGTCTTGTTTACAAAACATTGTAAGAAAATTTGGGTAATTTAGCCCTTTAGTTATGGGCCTGTTTGTATATTTTTGCACATTTGAGCTTTTTCTTGATATTCCGCACAAATGCATGTTCCTTACAAATGTGGCACCATTTAAAAGATAAATGAACCGGCTTTCCAACGGTATAAGATTTATTGCCAAGCATTGTTACAACAAAGAAACAATCTACCAAACACACATTTCCTTACTTTTTTGCGCTGTTTATTTTAATTTACTTTTTTGTAGTGTTATATTTTGTGCATTTATTTTTTCACCATTGACATTCTGTAGCTATCATTTCACATTTTTAAAAGAGAATAATGGTTTATTTGGTTTTTGTCTTTATCTTTACATAAAAACAAAACTCTAAGATGAAATTTCCCCAAATAATTATTGAAATGTCTAAATTTATGTAGAAGGAATGTAAAATTTGTTTCACAGAGCTATTGCTTTTTTCTATTCTTAGTTTTTTAATCATTTTATCTAAATGAAAACAAAACAGTAAAACCTTTTTCTTTTTTGGTTGCAGTACAGAACCAAACTATTTACAACTCTTTACATATTTTCCCGAACCTCAGTATTTTAAACTCCAGCAAATATTCCCAGAAAATATTATAAATATCCATGGAAAGTTTACAGCTTTACAAAATTCCTGGAAATCTGCGACCTTTATTATAAGAGACAGCACTTCTTTAAAAAGCTTCGGACATAAGGTTAATGTGGTGAAATATCTCCCTGGTGTTGGTTTTTCTTCATTGGCTTCCTGTTTTGTTTTAGAAATAGATTTTAAAGTTTTATTAATGACCTAAAAGTCCCTGAATGGACAGGTTTCTGTAGACCAGTCTGRCCCCCTTCAGTCTCATGTGCCCTCCAGGGTCTTTAAATCTAACGATCATTTGCTTTTAGTTTAGTCCAGAGAGGTGATCAGGTCTGAAGTTGTCCCAAGTCCAGGCTGGTCCAGACCAGAACTGGACAATATTCCAGCTGTATAACTTATCTCATTTACATTAATGCATTTGCATTATTGATAAAAACGTTTTCAGGAATGTGCATCAAAATGGTTAAAGCTGGACTGGAAATTCACATGCCTGAGTTAAAGGTGTAGCAGTGCTGCAGTCTCTCTGCAGTACCCTGCAGCTTCRTCCTGCCCCCAATAAAACTATGGCTGCTCCGTCATCGCTGCCCCGACAGTCACCCCAAAGGACTRCAAAGCCTGCTGCTTATTTAGCTCTTTAACTACCAACATGTTTTGCATCTAGCGTTTCGATTCATCTCAGAGAATGAGCAAAAAGCTTTGATGGAAAGAACAGTGTTGGCGAGTCTGACTTTACTGGAGGACGAGCTGACAGGAAGTCTGAATGTCTGTTGTCACCTTCATGTCACATCTGCAGGACTTTTTCTGTCAGGCTCTAAAATCATCCGTGAGAACACGGCAGATGTGATCTTTTCCTGGAGAAAAATTAATGTGGCTTTGTGAYGCAGTGAAGTTTGTTTTGCATCAGACATCATAAAAAGCTGCAGTGACTCAGCAGATGGACTCTGCCTGGAAACAGAAACTGCAGGAGGCATCAGTTTAAAGATGCATCTTGACGTCTAAAATAAATTGAAGTGTCTTGTAGCTTGGTAAAAAATAACAAGATGAGGTTTGCTGTGAAGTTATCTAGATTATAAATAACCACATGGATGGATTGAATTATATAAGCACYAACTTAAAGACAGGAGAGCTGTCAAAATATGCAGTTTTTTAATGTTTTTGGTTTGAGTTTTTTATGTATGTGTATCATTTTATAATAAAAATACTAAATACACATCATTCACTTCAAAAAGTTACTTCACAATTTAATAATAAATGAGCAGATTTGTGTCTTGTTGCCAACAATCATCTAATCATTTGTTGAATGTTTTACTGTTTTTTGCCATCATCACTTATTTTAAATACAAAGCTACTCATGAGTTGATGATTGTCAATTTCAAACTTCATTTTTCACTTTCAAAAATTAGTAATAATTTTAAGATTTAGGCAATTGCTCAGTTTAAGATTTATTGTTTGATACATTTATATTATAAAATAAGCTTTAATAGGAAAAACATGCATTTAGGGTTTAAACAGGAAATAAAAAACCATCAAGCTAACTCTGTTTACMAAGTGTTTACAGAGTGTTTACAGAGTGCAGTAAATACAGAGCCATGCTGATTTGTCTGTAGAGACTGTTGCTGTGGTGACCTAATCAAGATGTCCAT